CAGATATCTTGTTTTACAGACAATCAATTCATAGACAAGTTTATTTTAAAGACAATTAATTTACAGACAGTTTATTTCATAAACAGTTTATTTCATAAATATTTTATTTTGTAGACAATCTTTAAAACTAATTTAGAGATTATTTGCTGTTAAGATTGTTTACAAAATGAAATATTTATGAAATAAACTGTTTATAAAATGAATTGTTTGTAAATTAATTGTCTTTAAAATAAACTTTTTTATAAAGTGATTGTCTGTGAAACAAAGTGTCTGTGAAATAAAGTAATACAGACCCAAATTAATTATATATATACAGTATATAAAAAAATAAATCAACAATTCAACTTTTTTTAATAATTATTTGTACTAATTTTCTACAAAGCTTTAATCTAGTGCTATAAATCAAAAATCACAACTAATCGAAAAGTTGACAACTAATTAATTGAACAACTCATATTAAAATCAAATAAAAATCGAACAAAAATTAAATAATTGAAAAGTTGATAATCTATAAATATTATATAGCTAGTATATATTTTTTAGTATTATATAAAGTTTATAATAAAGTTAAGTTTTTTATTATACAGCATATAGTAAATAATAATTTTTTAAATATAATACAGTAAGCCTATAATATTTTTAATATTATTGTTATTATTATTTTTAATATTAGGGTGTAGCACCTGCCCCGGACTTTTATTAATACTTAAGCAAGTTGACATATAGTAGTGCTAAAATATATATATATTATATATTAAAACTAGAACTAGAACTTTAGGTCTAAGATTATTCATTTATAGCTAAAACCTACTAGAGCTATCAATACTCCTATACATGTGATTAATTTAGATTTATACATTTCTCCCCAACCACCAATTAGTATTTACATGTTCGCCACTTTACCCACATACCTAATATCTTAACTTCCAAATTGGTGTGTACTAAATAGGCACTTATTGCTCCCAGTTTGGTATGCTTGGTTCTAACTAGCATACTTCTAGAAGTTTGTATCTCAAACTATGCAGCTGCCTCTACTTGATTGGGTAAATATCTTAAGCCTGCATGCTGCCATAACTAGCTAGTTTTCTGCGACTTTAAGACCCAGGTTTTAATGTTTCAAATTCAGTAATATGCAAATAACTGTACTTTTCAATATGATAACGAGACTGTCTAGATATATTTCGCAAATGCTTCCAGTACCCAATATAGTTAGATAGGATTATGAGGCTAAAGATTCTTAACAGGTACATCATCATTTCTATTTATAGTAATTCTTAGCAATTGTAGCCCTAGGCTTTTGCAAGGGCTTGAGCTACTCACAGATACTCTGAGAGTAGTATCACACAGACTGGGTTAAAGTATAATTTTTAAACTCTAGAGTAAGAGTAAGAGCTCAAAGTTACTAAGCCCTTATATAGACAGGTAAAGCTATATATAACAGTACTCTACCTTTGTACCTGTGAATACCCTATTAAACAACCTGCTAATTATAATCCAACTTTCTATTGCTATAAATAAACTTAGAATAAACTACAGTATGTTATATATAAAATTATTTTTGCTTATATTTATATAAAAAAAATGCTATTTTTTTTTCTCTTTGGTTTAATCTTACATTAATAATACTAATTACCAATATATAATTACTAATGTACTAATTACCAATGCATATACTAATTATTAGCGTTCTAATCTACCAATGTATATACTAATTTACTAGTGTTCTGATTTACCAACACATACTTTAATTATTAGCGTTCTAATCTACCAATACATGCTCTAATTACTAGCATTCTAAAATGCTTTAAATTACTAACCAAAAAAAGTGAAAGACTATTAAAAGCTATAGGCAAGATATTAGCATTGCTAAATTTTTATTTTTATTATACTAGAATATTAAAAGCTAACAATACATCTACTACTAATATAAAATTACAAAGTTATGCAAGATTTCACAAACAATGATGTTTATAATTATAATACTGATAATATAGTAATAGATGTCAACTTAGTTAATAGTTTAACCACTTACTCTAAAAGTATTAATAACACAATTAGTAAAGCTGTTAATAAAGTTACTAGCAAAATTATAACAAAAACACTAGCAAAAACACTAGTGAAACTACTAGCAATGCCACTAGTGAAATCATCAGTGAAATCACCAGTGTAGCTACTAGTGAAATTACTAGCAAAACTACTAGCGAAATGACTAGTAAAACTATACCAAGGTTTAAGTTACCAGTTTTACTCTGTTAGAAAAAGAACAAAAAGCTAAATATAAACATTGTAAAGTTTACTTAGTCATAAAAAAGGAACTGGAACCTCTTACCTTTGGTGCTATCTTAATTCATACCAAAAATATAAAAAACTTTTAGCTAATAGATTTAACCCAAATAGATTTAATTTAGGATCTAATAGATAAAACTTAATACAAACTGAATATTTTCAAAAGAATCGGTTAGAAAAAATGTATCTGATATGGTAGTTCTAAATAAACTAAGTTTTCAATTTGTGGAAAGGTGAGCTTCTGAAAGCTAATTAGAGAACTATTATCTGATTTTATTTTTAGTGCCGACTCAATAAAACGAGACATTATAAACACTTATAATAAAAGAAAAGCACTGATTAAAAGCATATTTCAAAATGCCAAAAGCAAAATCACTCTTATCTGCAATTGTTGAACATTTCTCCAACAGCTTGTATACTTGGCAATTACTGCTCTTTTTTTTTTTTTTTTTTTTTTTTAAGCGATCCTGTTTTTATTTATTTAAACTACTATGTGATACAATAAGTGCTGAAATACCTTTGATCTCTATAGCAAAATGTTCTAGTCTAATAAAAACTCACTAAGAGTACAAAGTACTACCCAATGCAACCCACTAAAACAACTGTTTGTCATCACAAAGGGATCCAAAACTCGCTTCAAATTTTGTACTATAAAGATACCCCCTCGATCACTTGACTGGTTGCTGTATACTGTGTCAGGATCCTCTGTCCTTTCTTTAAAACTTTTTCCACCTAAGTTCGGGCAGAATAATTATCTCCTACTTTTCTACAAGCTAAGAACATATATACCTCATTTACGAAAGAAAAACTACATCTA